TATTCAGTCCTCCAAGAGACCCAACCACTAGACCAAATGAAACATTGTAAAGGAAGGAGATGAGAGTCTTTTTCTCGTCCACCATTATATTACTAAGAGCAACAAGTGGTCTTGACTTATCAGTAGGGGACGAAGCTCAGAGGAAACTTGCTTGCTTTGTGTGATTGAGGTCCTGGGATCTATCCCCAGCATCTTCCAAAGTTTTGTGGCTTTTCAAAAGTCATTATAATCAGCTGAAAGATTAAACATTTTACATTTTACCAATGAGCGGTTATAAAATGCATGTTCCCATACCGGGAGTCAAACCCGGGCCGCCTGGGTGAAAACCAGGAATCCTAACCGCTAGACCATATGGGACCTTGCTAACCAAAGAGATGAATTGCGTATGCGGTCCTCCACGACACCCAACCATTAGAACATATGGAACATAGTTAAGGAATGAGATGAGAGTAGTTATAACCAGCTGAAAAAGATAAAACATTTTACCAATGACCGGTTATAAAATGCATGTTCCCATACCTGGAGTCGAACCCGGGCTGCCTGGGTGAAAAACCAGGAATCCTAACCGCTAGACCATATGGGAGCTTGTTAACCACTGAGATGAAATGCGTATTCGGTCCTCCACGACACCCAACCACAGGACCATATAGAACATTGTTAAGGAATGAGATGAGAGTCTTATTCCTTCTACCAATATATTTCTAAAAGCAACAAGTTGTCTTGACTTATCACTAGGCAACATAGCTCAGATGAAACGAGCTTGCTTTGCATGTATGATGTATGATTGTTAAGGAAGGAGATGAGAGTCTTTTTCCGTCCACCAATATATTACTAAGAGCAACAAGTTGTCTTGACTTATCAGTAGGGGACGAAGCTCAGAGGAAACTCGCTTGCTTTGCATGATTGAGGTCCTGGGATCTATCCCCAGCATCTTCCAGAGTTTTGTGGCTTTTCAAAAGTCACATTTTACCAATGAGCAGTTATAAAATGCATGTTCCCATACCAGGAGCTGAACCCAGGTCACCTGGGCTAAAACCAGGAATCCTAACCGCTAGACCATATGGGACCTTGTTAACCACTGAGATGAAATGCGTATTCGGTCCTTCACGACACCCAACCACTAGACCATATGGAACATTGTTAAGGAAGGAGATGAGAGTAGTTATAACCAGCTGAAAAAGATAAAACATTTTACCAATGACCGGTTATAAAATGCATGTTCCCATACCGTGAGTCGAACCCGGGCAGCCTGGGTGAAAACCAGGAATCCTAACCGCTACACCATATGGGAGCTTGTTAACCACTGAGATGAAATGCGTATTCGGTCCTCCACGACACCCAACCACAGGACCATATAGAACATTGTTAAGGAATGAGATGAGAGTCTTATTCCTTCTGCCAATATATTTCTAAAAGCAACAAGTTGTCTTGACTTATCACTAGGCAACATAGCTCAGATGAAGCGAGCTTGCTTTGCATGTATGATGTATGATTGTTAAGGAAGGAGATGAGAGTCTTTTTCCGTCCACCAATATATTACTAAGAGCAACAAGTTGTCTTGGCTGAAAACCAGGAATCCTAACCACTAGACCATATGGGACCTTGCTAACCAATGAGATGAATTGCGTATTCGGTCCTCCAGGAGACTTAACCACTAGACCAAAAGGGAACATTGTTAAGGAAGGAGATGAGAGTCTTGCTGAGGTAGGGGATGTAGCTCAGTGGTAGTTCGCATGTATGAGGTCTTAGGTTCAATCCCCAGCATCTCCAAATATTTTTGTGGCTTTTCAAATTCATTACAAATAACTTAAAGATTAAGCAGCAATTTACCAATGTGTGGTAAATCTAGATGCGAGGCGTATTCCGTGCTACATTATACTATGAAAGATTTCTACTCCAAGTTGACAAACTGGACAACAGGGGATGTAGCTCAGTGGTAGAGCGCTTGCTTTACATGTATGAGATCCTGGGTTCAATCCCCAGCATCTCCAAAAGTTTTGTAGCTTTTCAAAAGTCATTGTAATCAACTGAAAGATTAAACTTTTTACCAATAAGCGGTTATAAAATGTGTGTTCCCATAACGGGAGTTAAACCTGTGCCACCCGGCTGAAAACCAGGAATTCTAACCGCTAGACCATATTGGACCTTGCTAACCAATGAAATGAATTGCGTATTCAGTCCTCCAAGAGACCCAACCACTAGACCAAATGAAACATTGTAAAGGAAGGAGATGAGAGTCTTTTTCTCGTCCACCATTATATTACTAAGAGCAACAAGTTGTCTTGACTTATCAGTAGGGGACGAAGCTCAGAGGAAACTTGCTTGCTTTGTGTGATTGAGGTCCTGGGATCTATCCCCAGCATCTTCCAAAGTTTTGTGGCTTTTCAAAAGTCATTATAATCAGCTGAAAGATTAAACATTTTACTAATGAGCGGTTATAAAATGCATGTTCCCATACCGGGAGTCGAACCCGGGCCGCCTGGGTGAAAACCAGGAATCCTAACCGCTAGACCATATGGGACCTTGCTAACCAATGAGATGAATTGCGTATTCGGTCCTCCACGACACCCAACCATTAGACCATATGGAACATCGTTAAGGAATGAGATAAGAGTAGTAATAACCAGGTGAAAAAGATAAAACATTTTACCAATGACCGGTTATAAAATGCATGTTCCCATACCGTGAGTCGAACCCGGGCCGCCTGGGTGAAAACCAGGAATCCTAACCGCTAGACCATATGGGAGCTTGTTAACCACTGAGATGAAATGCGTATTTGGTCCTCTACGACACCCAACCACAGGACCCTATAGAACATTGTTAAGGAATGAGATGAGAGTCTTATTCCTTCTACCAATATATTTCTAAAAGCAACAAGTTGTCTTGACTTATCACTAGGCAACATAGCTCAGATGAAGCGAGCTTGCTTTGCATGTATGATGTATGATTGTTAAGGAAGGAGATGAGAGTCTTTTTCCGTCCACCAATTTATTACTAAGAGCAACAAGTTGTCTTGGCTGAAAACCAGGAATCCTAACCACTAGACCATATGGGACCTTGCTAACCAATGAGATGAATTGCGTATTCGGTCCTCCAGGAGACGTAACCACTAGACCAAAAGGGAACATTGTTAAGGAAGGAGATGAGAGTCTTGGTGAGGTAGGGGATGTAGCTCAGCGGTAGAGCGCATGCTTCGCATGTATGAGGTCTTGGGTTCAATCCCCAGCATCTCCAAATATTTTTGTGGCTTTTCAAATTCATTACAAATAACTTAAAGATTAAGCAGCAATTTACCAATGTGTGGTAAATCTAGATGCGAGGCGTATTCCGTGCTCCATTATACTATGAAAGATTTCTACTCCAAGTTGACAAACTGGACAATAGGGGATGTAGCTCAGTGGTAGAGCGCATGCTTTGCTTGTATGAGATTCTGGGTTCAATCCCCAGCATCTCCAAAAGTTTTGTAGCTTTTCAAAAGTCATTATAACCAGCTGAAAAAGATAAAACATTTTACCAATGAACGGTTATAAAATGCATGTTCCCATAACGGGAGTTAAACCTGTGCCACCCGGCTGAAAACCAGGAATTCTAACCGCTAGACCATATTGGACCTTGCTAACCAATGAAATGAATTGCGTATTCAGTCCTCCAGGAGACCCAACCACTAGACCAAATGAAACATTGTAAAGGAAGGAGATGAGAGTCTTTTTTCTCGTCCACCATTATATTACTAAGAGCAACAAGTTGTCTTGACTTATCAGTAGGGGACGAAGCTCAGAGGAAACTTGCTTGCTTTGCGTGATTGAGGTCCTGGGATCTATCCCCAGCATCTTCCAAAGTTTTGTGGCTTTTCAAAAGTCATTATAATCAGCTGAAAGATTAAACATTTTACTAATGAGCGGTTATAAAATGCATGTTCCCATACCGGGAGTCGAACCCGGGCCGCCTGGGTGAAAACCAGGAATCCTAACCGCTAGACCATATGGGACCTTGCTAACCAATGAGATGTGGTTGAGATGAAGCGAGCTTGCTTTGCATGTATGATGTATGATTGTTAAGGAAGGAGATGAGAGTCTTTTTCCGTTCACCAATATATTACTAAGAGCAACAAGTTGTCTTGACTTATCAGTAGGGGACGAAGCTCAGAGGAAACTCGCTTGCTTTGCATGATTGAGGTCCTGGGATCTATCCCCAGCATCTTCCAGAGTTTTGTGGCTTTTCAAAAGTCACATTTTACCAATGAGCAGTTATAAAATGCATGTTCCCATAACAGGAGCTGAACCCAGGTCGCCTGGGCTAAAACCAGGAATCCTAACCGCTAGACCATATGGGACCTTGTTAACCACTGAGATGAAATGCAAATTCGGTACTTCACGACACCCAACCACTAGACCATATGGAACATTGTTAAGGAAGGAGATGAGAGTAGTTATAACCAGCTGAAAAAGATAAAACATTTTACCAATGACCGGTTATAAAATGCATGTTCCCATACCGTGAGTCGAACCCGGGTCGCCTGGGTGAAAACCAGGAATCCTAACCGCTAGACCATATGGGAGCTTGTTAACCACTGAGATGAAATGCGTATTCGGTCCTCCACGACACCCAACCACAGGACCATATAGAACATTGTTAAGGAATGAGATGAGAGTCTTATTCCTTCTGCCAATATGTTTCTAAAAGCAACAAGTTGTCTTGACTTATCACTAGGCAACATAGCTCAGATGAAGCGAGCTTGCTTTGCATGTATGATGTATGATTGTTAAGGAAGGAGATGAGAGTCTTTTTCCGTTCACCAATATATTACTAAGAGCAACAAGTTGTCTTGACTTATCAGTAGGGGACGAAGCTCAGAGGAAACTCGCTTGCTTTGCATGATTGAGGTCTTGGGATCTATCCCCAGCATCTTCCAGAGTTTTGTGGCTTTTCAAAAGTCACATTTTACCAATGAGCAGTTATAAAATGCATGTTTCCATACCAGGAGCTGAACCCAGGTCACC